TGATCTTTAGGATGGCCGTAGAATTATATGGTTCTAGACTATTCACTAATTTTGGGTAAACCAGACTTATGATCTTTAGGATGGCCGTAGAATTATATGGTTCTAGACTATTCACTAATTTTGGGTAAACCAGACTTATGATCTTTAGGATGGCCGTAGAATTATATGGTTCTAGACTATTCACTAATTTTAAATAGTTATCATCATTTGATAAATGAGTAGAAATATTTCGCTTAAAACTATCCTTCACTAACACCACAAATCCTTTACTTTTATCAGATTATTTAACTATAATGTTGGTGTTACCTTTTAAGTTATAGAGAGCTTTCGTATCTTGGAAAGATAAATTAGGTTTCATTGTGTAATCATGAAATTTCCCTAAGATACTCTACACTTTTTTTAAAGTTCTGTCATGGTGTCTTTTTTTATCTTCTGTCCTTTCACTTGCTGGTGTCTTAGGATAGTCAAAAGGTGGGTTGGAAAGTTGGTTAACAGACGGTTGGTGTTCTTCTCTTTGTTCTGGTGAATCTTCACTACTTCCATCTTGGATTTGTAAATAATGCTTTTCTCGTTGTCGTATTTTATGGAAAGTTTGCTGTAATGATCATAAAATATCTAATTCTATATAATCATCTAGTGTAGTTGGAACTGTAAAATTCGGTTCTCGACTGAGTAACGATTTAGTTTTATCATCCAAGTTAATACCATCGTCTACGGTTATATTACTTTGTTTGAGATCTGATCTCGCTTCATTGATGTAAATATGAGTATTTATTAACTAAGGTTTCAAACTTACGTTTCAGAGTTTTTTCTCTTTCTTGTCGCCCCCCCCCCCCCAGTGGCACAGCGGTATGTCTGCGAACTTACTAAACTAGAAACCGGGTTTCTATACCTGTGGTGGGCAGAGCCCAGACAGCCCATCGTGTAGCTTTGTGCATAATAACAAATAAACGAACCAACAAACTTTCTTGTTTCTCTAACCTATTGAGAACATCACTTTCGTCTTTAATCCAGTTCTTAAAGTCCACATTCTGAACATTTTTAATAAAATTTAAAGTCCTATCCCAAATTTTTTTGTCGTGTTTGTATTTCTTTTTGAACATGCAGCTTATGATATACATAGTTATAAAGCACAAATATTAATTTTAGTATTTTTAGAAGCGATAACCAGCAGGTTTGTTTATATAACTGTGTACAAGTCATAAATTGTGTAGTTCAATAGTTGATGGTTGTTATATTGTTACGTCATGTAACTAGAAACCTCTAAGTTTCTCTCGTTGTTTCACTGAGTATTGTTACACCATAACTTCACGTAGTTTGTAGAAAATTCTTGGCCTCAGTCGAGCAATAGATATATGTAGAGGGGACCAAGTTAGTACAAGTTAGAAAGTTAGTGAAAGTTAAAATACCACAGACTGTATTGTAATAACAGAGTAGAGAAGAATGATTCATCTTGTCAATTGTGATCTAAAGTAACTGAACCAACCAGTGTGGACTTCTGATGAAAAGAAACAACTGTGATAACCAATAGTGTAACAGAATTTTGTACATACGTTTGACTTGTTTTGTATATATCATTTTAAAACAAGTGGATTGTGTGCTGTCCGTTTATTGTCGAAATGATCACCAACAAGTCACAGACACCTACTGTAAAGAATCCGGCCCATCCACACAGAGGTAAAACCTAACAATGCTCAAAGGTAGATATTAATGAGATTAAAATGTTACGAAAATATGCCCACAGAAATAGCCACAATTAATTATAACGACATGATCACAGGAATGGAAACTTCCTTTTACAGGGTCGCAGGTTCGAATCCCCGTCTCACCAAACATGCTCGCCCTTTCAGCCGTGGGGCGTTATAATGTGACGGTCAATCCCACTATTCGTTGGTAAAAGAGTAGCCCAATAGTTGGCGGTGAGTGGTGATGACTAGCTGCCTTCCCTCTAATCTTACACTGCTAAATTAGGGATGGCTAGCGCAGATAGCCCTCGTGTAGCTTTGCGCGAAATTCAAAACAAACAAACAAACAACCCTTTTACAGAATGACGTGTTCTTTGGCTGTACGTCATTTAACAATCTCGCTATAAGAATCTCATTACATGGAAAGTGCTGCAGTTTAAACCTCCAGTCATAAGACTACTCGAGACGGCATGGCACTGTCGAATAACCGAGATTAGTTTAATCTACCTAACTAATAATGTAAATTACAGAATTATGCCAACCAGTCTGCTGAATTGTTTAGTTCAGTAGATACATTTTTCTGTATAAATACTTTTTGTATCAGGCAGGTGGCACCACTGTCTATGTAAGGATGGCTCGGATTGTTCATCGAGATGGTATTTTAAATGTTTCCTCAATAAGTCATCAGAACTTTACAATACTATACAGTGTTTACTTTTATAACAATATCTATGTAATGACCGAGTCACAAGTTCTGGGAATGTCTGTAAATATCATACTAAAAAGTTTGAATTTCTTGTTCTTCTTTCTTCTGCTTATTTTTTATTACATGATAACTGAAAAACCAAAACAATGGTGTCAACCAGTTTCACTGAGGTGACATAGTTTCAAACGGAGAATCCGCTTTTATAAGTATTATTAATAACTAGTAGTAACTAAAAAAATTATAATTCTACTGTAAACGATGTTATGATTACCCCTTGAAGTTAGCTTTTTTACTGAAGTTTGGTGTTCTTTTAGAATGCATAAGTACAAGTAGAAACAGGAAATACTAGCTAATAATATGTAAACAATAAATATTACAGTTTGGAACCTCATTGTACTTAGAACGTGGTTATAAATACAACCTTCCTGTGTCTATTGAAACACTGCGTTAAACAACAAGTAAAGAAAAAACTTCTCAAAAAAAAGGAAGGAAAGAAATGTAGGGATGGCTAATATCAATCCTTCAAAAACAAGATAGTAGGGATGGTATTTTCATCATCCCTACATAATAGTAGGAATTATATAAATGCTATCCCAACCATCTTGTTTACGTTGTTTTTGAAGGATTGACAATAGTCATCCCTACAGTTCTTTCCTTTTCACAAAAGTCGTTTTCGTTACTTGTACAAATTTTACTCTGGACACGTTAAGCCTTATTCACGTACCTGTATCAGAATATCGACTACAGAAATGTGACCGTGGACACAGGCCCAGTGAATAGGGAGGGCCGCTACTTTACTCAGACTAGGAGAATCCACTGGAACGCCATGTTCCACCATATATTCCAGAATGTCAGCATGACCACCGATACATGCCCAGTGGGCTGGTGTGTGACCTAGATCATCTCGTTCAGTCAGAATGCCTAGCCCATACCTTCCAACTAGAAATTCAACAGCTTCCAAGGTCCTGCAAAAAAGGGTATTTATTTAGAAAGTTCAGCGACACAAAAGTTTTAGGAAGAGTAATGTTTTAATACTTTAAGTGACACAAACATTAAATGGAAATATATTGATTTAGGACGTTAAGTGACACAGACGTTAAAAATATTATTACCCAGGACGTTAAGAGACATAAATATTAAAGAAGAGGGTATATCTTTAGAATGTTAAGTGACACATACATTAAAGAAGAGGGTATTTCTTTATAACGTTAAGTGACACATACATTAAAGAAGAGGGTATTTCTTTATAACGTTAAGTGACACAAGAATTAAAGAAAAGACTATTGTTTATAACGTTAAGTGACACATACATTAAAGAAGGGGGTATTTTTAGAAGGTTAAGTGACAAAAACATTAAATAAGATGACTTTTATAGAACGTTAAGTGACACAGACATTAAAGAAGAGGGTACTGTTCAGATCGTTAAGTTACACACATTAAAGAAGAGGGTACTGTTTATAACGTTAAGTGACACAAGAATTAAAGAAAATACTATTGTTTATAACGTTAAGTGACACATACATTAAAGAAGAGGGTACTGTTTATAACGTTAAGTGACACATACATTAAAGAAGAGGGTACTGTTTAGAACGTTAAGTGACACAAGAATTAAAGAAAATACTATTGTTTATAACGTTAAGTGACACAGACATTAAAGAAGAGGGTACTGTTTAGATCGTTAAGTTACACACATTAAAGAAGAGGGTACTGTTTAGATCGTTAAGTTACACACATTAAAGAAGAGGGTACTGTTCAGAACGTTAAGTGACACAAACATTAGTGAAGAAGTACCGTTTTCTGAAAAACAAAATGTCTAAAACAACTTAGTTACAACTAGATCAAAGTTGAGGAAGCAGTTTACGCTGGGTGGCGTTTCCACGTTTCAGTAACTAACCTGTAGGGTGTGGTGAAATGATTTTGGTGAGCTAGTTGCAGGTCCGGAAGTTGGAAACAGTGGGAACAGCCCATATTTTTTCATGAAAAACAAAACACGTTCACGAGTTCACTTTCAATTACTTAACTCAAATAAAACATGTGGCAAGTTCTAATTACTTCAAATATCCGTTCCCAATAACCGTGAACTCAAACTAGAAAAAAGCACGTATAGAAAATACAACCAACCCTTCTCAAATGAAAAATGAACAGCTAATTACGAACGTCTGGTTTCTTCTGTGTTTCGTTAGTAATATTTGTAGTAATATGAATTCTGTTAATGTTAACACGAACGTCGTCTCGGCTTGGCGTGCCAAACTTGTGATCCGTGAATCTATGGTTCGCATCCCGCATTTTTGTTCCTGTTGGATTAGAGTAGCCCAAAAGTTAACGGCGGGTGCTGTTAAATAGCCGCCTCTACCTCTACTCTATCCCTTCAGCTAGTGCAGATAGCCTTTGAGTAGCTTTAAGCGAAATTGAACAAACAAATAAGTTTAAACTTAGGAATGGCTGGAGCTCCTTTATAGTTTTGTGGGAATATTTTAAAACTAGCTCTTGGAATTACTTGAATATGTAGTATTCATTATGTTTAAATTACTTATTTTATTAAAACTATTTGTTCTGTTGTTGATATGTGTGTTGGTGTTATTTGTTGTATTAATAATATTGTTGTTCTACTTAAATCTGTTGTATTTGTAGTACTTATTGTGTTTAGATTACTTGTTTTATTAAGACTGCTTGTTCTACTGTTGATATGTGTGTTGATGTTATTTGTTGTATTAATAATATTGTTGTTCTACTTAAATCTGTTGTATTTGTAGTACTTATTGTGTTTAAATTACTTGTTTTATTAAAACTATTTGTTCTTCTATTGATATGTGTGTTGGTGTTATTTGTTGTATTAGTAATATTGTTGTACTAATTAAATCTGTTCTATTTGTAGTACTTATTGTGTTTAAATTACTTGTTTTATTAAAACTACTTGTTCTACTGTTGATATGTGTGTTGGTGTTATTTGTTGTATTAGTAATATT